GGGGGGGGGGGGGGGGTACTCATAGTCGTGCATGCCGTAGTCGTTAGACCATTGACCTCGCATCCCTACAAAGCCGGGACGGAGCACGCCGGGTTCTCACCGGACCAGGCTCTCACATCACCAAGCGCGAAGCGCCGTGAGGTATTCGGCGAGTCGCATGAAGGGTGAGCTACATCCTGCTAAGGGTATTCGGCATCTTGTGCTTACTTCCGTGCGTACGGATGACAGCTGCGTATGACTTAATTTATTTTCTCGTGCTTTCACTTCCAGAGACAGTTATAAGCACTGTGTAACTGCCTCGAGGATGCTTGACCATTTTAACACCACGTGGTGCGATCATCCCCCTTGCGCGGAGTGAGGTTTCTCGACCCCGCACAACATGATCTACTCGACCACCATTATGGTTACCGCCAAAAAAAAACAGAGGTAAAAAAAAAAACGGTAACCTGGTTGCCGAGTTCACGAAGTGAATTGGCTTGTTTTACAGCGTCGTTACCAAGCGACGAAAACCCGATCCCGATGGCAAACACCCAGGGGGGGGCTTGTTTTACAACGTCGTTGCCAAGCGACGAAAACCCAACCCCGATAGCAAACACCGGGGAGGGGGCGGCATGTTTTACAACGTCGTTGCCAAGCGACGAAAACCCAACCCCGATAGCAAACACCGGGGAGGGGGCGGCATGTTTTACAACGTCGTTGCCAAGCGACGAAAACCCAATCCCGGTGGCAAACACCGGGGAGGGGGGGGGGGGTGCTCGGCAAGTCCTAACCCATAGCGTTCACCAGATCATGGTTCGAATACGCTCGCTTTTTAATAGCCACAACACGAAGATTCGTCAGTCCGCGAAAACATGTGTGTGTGGGGGGGGGGGTTCGGATCACGGGGGTACACCTTTGCCACCACGTGTTCGTACCGCCTGCCATTGCTACGAGCTATCCCTTCAGAGTAGGCTCGTGAGAGTGAGAGGACAGCAGTGTCGTCAAAAGGTCATGGTCATGCAAGATGGAATAAAAAGAGGAAGGAGGACTAACTCACAACTAACCGTCAGCTGCGGTGTGCGTTTCTCAGGCTCAAAAAGCTGGCGCGCTTTGGACCCGAACAGCCCAGTGAACCGCAACACAACGAACCAAAAAAGGAAATTTTGCAAATCTACTGTACATAGTCTTGCTGACGGGTTTTTTTACTCGAACAGCCCAGCGAACCGCAACGAACGAAAATAAGAACTATGCAAAATCTCTAGACAGCCTTGTTGGTTGGCAGGTAATGCGTGCTGTGTGAGGGGTTTCTGTGGTCACCGCTTTTTTACTCGAACAGCCCAGCGAACCGCAACGAACGAAATGAAGAATTATGCAAAATCTCTAGACAGCCTTGTTGGTTGGCAAGTGATGTGTACTGTGTGAGGGGTGCCTGTGGTCACCGCGTTTCTTGCTTTCCAACAAGGGTCGAGAAAGGTTTTCGAGAACAAAAAAAAAAAGGGTCTTCTAAAGTACGAAAAGCGGACAATTACCGGCCACGACAACACAACCAACACACACCAACACCAGCACACCAACAACATCCTGACCATAGGCACAACACACTTTTGAACACGACCAGAATCATTGCCGGGTTTCAACCAAAAAGAGAATCACATGTCGCGATGGGCAGGGCAAAGCACACAACAGGCTAGCCTGGATGGCAAGGTAAAGGGATAGGAGCAAGACATATGATAATTCTACCGACGATTTAAGAGACGAAAAGCATCAGGCAGTTATTCTGGAAAAAACGCGCTGAATCGATTGAGTTTTGAGACTTCCGAACAACGCAAGCACCACGTAGATTTTCGAAAAACAACTGACACAAACCACGGATATTTTCGAAAAAAAAAAATGGGAAGGGGTCCACGCACCTGGAGGTCCGCGATGGTGGGGGAGGTGCCAACGAAGAACTTGGAGGACGGGTTAGCAGCAAGCTTGGAGACGAGCAACTCCACCAGGCCCTTCACCTGCACGCAGGGGGATAGATAGGACAGCATTCCAGTCAGCCGTGGATGGTTATCTCCGGGTATGTCGACGTCCTCGGAACCGCTCGTCCCTGTCGTCCTCCCTCCGCAGCCACCACACAAATCTCGCTTCGCGTACATGCGCATATTTCCCCCCCAAGATACGACCACCAACCGACACCATTAATAATCCTCACGCCACACGCGCAACACACAACTCGCGATGCGAAACAAATCTCGCTTTGCGTGCGTATGCATATTACCCCAAGATACGACCACCAACCGGAACCAATAGTTATCCTTAGGCCACACACAACTTGCCATACGTACGAAACAACCCTCGCTTCGCGTGCATACGCATGTTTGTCCAAGAAACGACCACCAACCGACACCATTAGTTATCTCTCACGCCACACGCGCCACACACTACTGTACTCCGCAACCCGAAACAAAATCTCGCCTATTCTAGCGTGTACGTGTGCATACCCAAGATAACACCCGCCGCCGACGCCATTAATAACCCTTGCGCCACACGGACCCACACGCACCTTTCCCTCGAGTACTCCCTTGGCGACCGTGTCGTCCTCGGCGCCCATGCACTTGAACATGTTGGCCAAAATGTCCTCGCCGATCATCACGATCTCATCCACCTGCCGTGGCCACGTACGCGCGGCGCGCGGTTCCGACCGAATCCATGAGCGAAAAATAAAACTGAAAATGTGCCCTCCCCTCCCCGAAAGTACGTTTGAGAGATGGAGATGGAGCGTAAAAAGTTGTGGGGAGAGGGGAGGGGGGGAAGCCACAGGAAGATAGACGCTTGGACGAGCAAAGAGACAAACGGCTAGCGAGGGGGAAAGAGAGAGGCAGACAGACAGACAGACAGAGAGATAGCGAGAGACAGAGACAGACAGAGACAGACAGAGACAGACAGAGAGAGAGACAGACAGACAGACAGACAGACAGACAGAGAGACACACACATACAGAGAGAGGGACAGACAGACGGAGAGAGAGAGAGAGAGAGGGAGAGAGAGACGCACACACACACAAACACGAACAGATAACTGGGTGTAGATGTCCTAGCACACCCTGACCAACGTCTCATCCGGCGGGAAGCCACAGCCAGCCAGCTTGCTAGTCGACCCTCTTCCCCCCCCCCCACCTGCTCTCTCTACCCTGCTCTCTCTATGCACATACCTACAGACCAGCCGGCCTTGCCGTTTGACGCCCAACAACAAACAAAAAAAACGCCGGGGCGATCAATCGGGGCTGTTGGAATCAATGGAATACTTAATGCCAACCACTAGTCTTTGTGCTGCCGTAAGCACCATTACGTACGTAACCACCCTAAAGGATCGGGGTAAATGTCTTGGGTGCATTGTGCAGGTGATCGGATCATTGTGCACACCTACGGGTTACTTATGCATGAACCACCCAGGTTTCATCCCCATAGCACAGGGGCGAACCAAAAAATCCTACGACTAAAAAAACAGAGAAACACACACATCCGAAAAGACACGAAACGGTCGCTTTTCCCTCCTGGTCTGCGTGGTACGAAGAACACTTCTCTATTTTTCATAGAACAATGACAACATCCTGAAAAAATACTAACAGAATAATAGTGAAATCCTCGCGAAGGATGTCCCTGTGCAATCGCCTTGGCGACGACATTTCTAATCTTGGTTTTAGTAGGGGTTACGGGGTGGGGTAGGGCGTTAGGGGAAGGGATAGGGATACCAAAAACCCCCCTCTCCATTTCATAAGTGAACAACAATAACATCCTCACGAAGGCGGTCCTCTCTCTGTGGGGCGCGGAGGTGGGGGGTCCGGACCCGCCTTCGCGAGAACTAAATTTTATGAGGAAAATGAACAGGGAGGGAGTACGCGGACAGACCCTTTTCCCTCGCCCAACCCTGACCCAACTTCCCCGATTTGATGCTTTATCCTACATTCTTACTCAATAGCAAATCCCTGTCGAGGCTACTGGGGGAAGGCGGTCAGGACACGAGAAACCCTCGTCGATGATCACGGTCTGGAAACAGACTGCATGTACATACCTTGAGGGCGGCGAGAGCATCGTCGGGGTACAGACCTCCCAGCTTGCCGGCATACCGGAGGAGGGCCGTGGACTGAGTGTACTCGGCGCCGTCCATCTGGTAATGATTTTCAGGTATGATAGAAGAATATACGAAAATGGCGCGCCCGCAGGGGGGGGGGATACTCTCATGTTTTCCATGCCTTGGCGGTGTGTCCTCGAGACAAGACGGAGCATTATTGTCACCACAGACCCGATATCAGATGGCCAATCGTTCCTTGCTACTTTGCCAGAGGTGGCTCGAAAATGGCAAGGGGTGGGGAGCGGGGTATGTCAATCGGGAACAGTGATGACGGGGGTGGGCACTCGACTGGCTGTGCTCGGCACCGTTCATGATATATGTTTTTCCACGGAGAAAATATGCGAGAGTGGGGGGGATTAATTTCTCGTCGATCTGCGTATACTTGGTTTACCTTCGGAAAACCACAACCTACTAAAACAATTTATAAATTTCCTCAGCTTTCTTACTTAAAAGTAGCTTGACAAAAACCTGCGGGACAAAGAAAGAAGCAGGAACAAAAACAATTTTCACGCGATCTTCAACATTATTAGTCTATGCTACAAGGCACGCCTCTGGAGTTGGCTCATCAGAGCATAATTAGTAGTAGTGCCATCAAGGCGTGATGCAAGATGGACGTCAAGCACGTGCTGGCGCGAATCAGCTGCCAGCTGCCATCGGTGACTTTTTCTTATATTTTCTTATTATGACACAACGGGACATCTCTATCTATGCTATAGAAAAGAGTCAAAGATAGACAAGCAATGGCTACCTGTATTTTTCCCCCAAGCTCGAACAGTTCACACATGCCGGCGTGTTTTCAGGTCGAAGAGCCCAGCGAACCTCTCAACTAGAACCAACATGAAAAATCTGCAAATCTGCAGTACGCAAGTCGTATGTAGCATGAGCCGTGTCCCTCACCTGGAGGACGGGAAGGCCCTTGCCCGCCCACTTGCAGGCGCCGTACTCCGGAAAAGTCAGCCGCTTGTCATCGAACTCCTTGCCGGCGTAGGCGAGGGCGACGCGCGTGGCTTCCGCGCGGCCGGGAAGCTCGAAGTAGTTGAGGGTGGGCGTGGAAGACATCTTGAAACTGTTGTTGTTGTTGGTGGTGGTGGTGGTGGTGGTGGTGGTTGTTGTTCTGTCGAAAAGATGGGGGGGTGGATGAGGGCAGCAGAAAGAAAGGCAAAAAAAAGGGGCGACGTGAGAGCTCTCGAAGTAGCCAAGGGTGGTTGGTGGGGGGAACACATCTTCAAACCGGTGTAAAACCGGTGTTGGTGGTTGGTCTGTCGAAAGTGTGGGGGTGGATGAGGTCGGGGGAAAACAAAGGGCAAAAAAAGTTGTAGGTTGGGTATGTTTTGTGTCCGTTTCGGTATTTTTTTTTTTTTTCTTGTCTTTTACTTTTCAGTCGGGGGACGCAACATTTTTTCTTGTCTTTTACTGGAAGGTACCATCAAATCTTCGTCGTCGTGTGTTGGTTGGGTGCAGGGGCGGGAATGACAGGCGGTGGGTG